TTACAGTCCCAGACTGAGATCAAGGCCTCCTGTGCTCGGTATTGTATAAACACATCACAGGAAAGAGTTCCTGACCCAAAGAGCTTATAGCCACACTAAGCCATAGATTCTTCCAGGAAAAAAGGGTAGACAAGATCTGAATCTCTAATCTATCTATTGGTAGACAGATGCCCAAGCAAAACAAAAATGAAAAAAAAACAAATTAAAAAACAAATACATCCTACATATTATTATATATAAAACTAAAATGGACAAAGTGTCAAAAAGTCCCTTTCCCACTTGTAAATCACTCTTAAATCTATTGGAAAAATAAGTTTATAGTACACCATTGCCTGGCAATTTAAACAACAAGAAAAAAACAAACAAAACCACCATCTTTTATATGCCAATGAATTCACTGGGAAACACCAGATATTGAGACTTTGTATAATTTGTATAGAGTTACTTTTCAGAATACAGCCACACTTAAGTTTTGAAAGAAGTTTCACAGCAACCTCAATTTTTGTGAACACATTTTGGCACCTGCGCATGCTAGCAGTTAGAGGTCTAACTACCTGATTTGTGGGCACAGTCATGCAGTTAGATGCCCAATTTTAGCATTTACATCTGCAAAACAAAACAAAACAAAAACATCCAACAACTTTTCATAGTCAGGACATAAAGCTCTTCCAATTGTTTGTAAATTTGATATATCATCATAAATGAACTCTGTATCACTTTTAGAAGTCTCCAACCCATACACAAATATTTGCACATCAAGTTCCTGAATGCTGAGATTCCTGTTACACCCAAATTCTTGGGGGTTATTTTAAATACAGTAATTAAAAATAAGTGGGGTATAATGATAAAGATATAATGAACAGATATTTACTTGAAATTAACCCTTTCAGAATGAATACAAGAGTGTTTTTTGTTATTCTTCTTATACATGCCATTAAAGTGAAAGAATAAATAATTTTGTAAATACTCACAGAACCATCTGCCATATTAAATGCTTTACTTCTTTTCTGTTGATAGTGATCAAGTGTCCTCCTATTTCTCTACAAAAATCTTCAGCTTCAAACCATGATTTCTTTTGGTTTCCTTCTCTCACAAAAATCTAATGAGGACATATTTCACAATAAGCTACTATATAATAATACCCTCCCTATGTAATAAAATCAAACAATACCCTATGCAGCTACTTTCTCAGGAGTGGGATTTCATACAGTCCAGCTAACCAAATCAAAAGGACATCCAGAAGGAAAATAACACCTGGAATATGGATTATAGAATGCCTAATTCTTAGCGTCCATTGTTTCACTTTGTTTGAGCAAAAGTACAGGGGAGAACTGAGAAGACCCATAGCTGTCACAATACACAGAGAGGGAAAAAGCTAGTTTGTATAACTTAATAGGAGCTCTGACCACTGAAACTGGTGAAGAAAAATAGAATGATTATATCTAAATATCCAAGGGGGGGTGAAAATCAGGAGATTACTGAGAAATGACTGGAGCAAAACCCAAAGTAATGGGAGCGAAAGGGAGATGTGGATGTAGGGCCCATCCTGCAAGGTTCTAAGCACTCTGGCCCTGACTCCGCAAAGAAATTAAGCGTGTGCTTAACCTTGCAGGACTGAGCCCATAATTAAGGTTATTTAAGTCTAAGGAAAGAGGTCTCAGCAGCAGGAAAGTATTCGATCTCATAAATGGTAATCCAAATAAATAAATAAGAATTTGAGTGTGACACAATATAACAGAATTACATAGTCCCTGCAGAGTAAGAACTTAACCTCAGCTTTGTTTACTCTTTATGCTTGCCCAGGTATACAAGGGGAAGTTCCACACAATTCTATTAGCTGAGAATCTCAGCTTTCATTTAAAAAGAGAAAAGTATGTTTCAAGCTCTCATGGTTAAAGGGAAAAGCTTGAAAACAATATAAAAAAGAACCCAAGATTTTTTTTTAAAAAAAATCTCATGATTTTAAGCCAATATCATGATTTCTTGGAACCCGGACTCATAATTTTCCAATACCTGGCGTTGACAATAGTGTTGCGAAATGGAATCTCTAAAAAGTGCGCATTTCGCTACACAATGCAGGTTAGGGAACAACTGAGAGCAGATCTTAACTTTCAATGCATGGGATGGACAGTGTGTAGTGAATGAGGCAGGAAAGTTTAATACTTACTTTGAAGCATGAGCTAATAAAATTGCTTGAATCCCAGCCTTCAGGGCATGTGGGGGCAAGAGTTGTTAGTGGAATCAGAGGATGTGTCACACCCTCAGCCCACTGTTTGCAGAGAAATTTTGCTGTGTTCTCACAACTAAGAACATCCCATAATCCAGCCGCAATTCCAGTTCCCATGGCAACACAGCCTGACTTTCCTCCTTCATGAAAGAAATTTTAAAAACCTAATTGAAAATTACATATTTCTCTCAAAGAAATTAAACTTCTGTTTCCATTCCTATTTGGGTTTGTTTTTTATAAGCCAAAGGATGGAAATTCTAATGCAGATGCAAAGTCACATGGGTCCAGATTTTTAAAGGTATATAGGCATTGCTGTGCTCAGCATTGCAATGCATAACTCACCTAGAAGGCAAAGTCTTATTGTCAAAAGGGATTTAGGCACTTAGGAGCCTAAATTCCATTAACTGTGCCTAAATCCCTTTTGAAAGTAAGATTTAGGCTTCTAATCAGTTAGGTGTTGCAACACTGAGTGCAACAATGCCTACATACTTTTAAAAACCTGGGTCTTGGTTCCATGTGTCATAGGAATACACAGAACAGTAGCACAGGTACGTTAACAAATCCCATGAGCCCATCTCTGCCAAATGGTGAGAAAACTCACAAAATGTGAACACTGATAGTCACTTTTTCCCCCCCTAGTGTGACCATTTTTAGTCTAATAATCTATATATTTGCCGTTACTTCATTTCTCAACTAAGCACCCTATAGGTCTAATTGTTTGGCCACTTATGTCCAGCACTAATTTTCATAGAATCATAGAATATCAGGATTGGAAGGGACCTCCGGAGGTCATCTAGTCCAACCCCCTGCTCAAAGCAAGACCAATCCCCAGACAGATTTTTACCCCAGTTCCCTAAATGGCCCCCTCAAGGATTGAGCTCACAACCCCGGGTTTAGCAGGCCAATGCTCAAACCACTGAGCTATCCCTCCCTGCCAGCGTGATGAACGATGTCAACCATTAATGCTGTGATAAAGTTCTGAAAATGTTGAGGCCCCTTCAGCCCCTGCTTAGCATTGTCTCTAGACGTTCAAAGCCCCTGCTTTCACAACTACACAAGACAGGGAGTAGCAGCCCACTAATCTTCATGTGGCTAGCCTGCTCCTTACTCCCCTGCAAGAATTCAAAGGAGGGCCCATGGTTGAATCCTGTCTAATCCACCAGAGGACGGAGAGTGGAAATTCATGGGAATTTCAATATTCAGTCTTAACACATACTAAAACCACAGACAGCACATATTGCACAGCACTGCAGTGCATACCAGGCATTGCTGAATTCCAATGAGTGAACAGAACTGCTTCACCATCGGTCCACTTGAAAGTCCCTTGTTCCTCTACATCTGAAAGACCTATCCAGAAATATTTTTCAGGCCTTAGCCCAATCAGACTAATCAGATAGGCTTGTTCATTTCTGTTAAGGAAAATAATGTTTCAAAACTAAGATTTAATCATGGCTTTTCTTTTAATGAAATCATTCAGAATGGAAAACTTGATAAAAGAATTAAAAGTTGATAGAATGGTTGGTTTAAATCTATTAATTTATACTTTGAACAAATTCAGCTGCTGACACCAGAAAGGAAGCATGATAATTATGGCCTATTAATAATTTGGAATGATTCCTTCTCTCCTCCTGCACAATATAAGACATTATACATTTGTCTGAGAGTTAGAAGGGAGAAGGCAGAGGCAGATCCTAGTACGGTCATGGTGGAGCTGCTGTCTATTAGCTCCTTATATGTGGCATTTTGTTTTGTTGTTTAAATTTCGGGGCTACCACTGCCTTAGGAAATAGAGGGCCATATGCTGAGAGAGACCCCACAAACCTTTATCCTCTGATTTTTAATAAAGGAATGTGATGGGCTGGACTATGTCCAGATGTCCTCTGCTGGAGGCCTCACAGCCCTGCCTCACTCCGCCTCAGAAAAGAGAAGAGGAGAAGCCCTCCAGGTGGCCTACAATGGGTATAGGGGAAGCAGCCAATCAGAGGGGCTGATGGAGCGCCATATAAAAAGAAGGAGCAGAGACAAAGCAGTGAGTTGCTGCCTGGAGCTGGAAGAGAGAGAACCAGGTTCGTGGCCAGCTGGAAGTACAGCAGGACCACAGACAGCTCAGTTAGGGCAGGGCTGAGCCCACGGAGGGCTGTTGAAGACCAGGGGAGTTAAGAAGGAACTCCTGGATGGCTGAGGGGACCGAGCAAGGGCTGAGCCCAAAACCTAGCCAGACCAAGCAAGGGTCCCACGATGGGCCCTGTTGGTCTAGTTAAAGACTAAGCGGGGTAGGGGTAGGGGTGGGGTTGCTGCCGAAAAGGACGTACCAATGAAGGGTACCTTGTTGGGCCCTGTTGAACTGGTATAGAGGGCAGTGTCTCCAGGAAGGAAGCTTTCGTAGAAAGTAAACACTGTATACCCCAGAAGGGGTTTGTTCGTGCTGTTCCACCTATAGACAGTGTGTGATATTCGGCCAGAGGGCTGAGTCACTGAAGACCCTCCAAAGAAACCACTGGTCAGGAGGGTTGCTTGTGAGAGGTGGGTGCCACCTCATTCCAAGAACTAAGAAACAGCAGGCTCCCACCCGACCACAAGGAGGCACTCGCGAGAGGTGGGTGCTGACCCTGTTACAAGGAACTATTACTAAAAAAATATTTTCCCCTGATATTTTTGCTCAAATGTTTCACCTCAAGGAGATATAAACTAATTAAACTAATAGTTTAAAGAAAGATTTCTAACTATTACAATCTGTCAATTAAAATTAAAATGATAAACCATTAAAAGTCATTAGAATCCATCAATTGTTAATTTAAATAATTAGAATTGTCAATTATGACACAATGTACAACACAGAAGATGTTCCACATTTTGGTCATTTGTCACACATTCTGTTGGCTCATGTCAGACACTGGCAGTTTTGAAGACTGAAAGATGTGTGCACTACATTTCCCTCACAAGCCAAATCTGGACCAACAAGCATAGTTTACATATGCTTGGATTAAGCAATGAGAAGAAATGAAGGAAAGAAAACCTGTAAACAGTAAGAAAATGTTATTTGAAAATCCTGGATAAGAATAAGGAGGGATTTCTGAAATGATAAAGCATCCAAAAAAGTATGGAGCTCACAGAAGTAGATGCATGCATGAAAGCAATATGAAAGAATTTGTCAAACCAAATTTAAACCACTGTATTCATCTCAATAAACCAAATCAAAATATAAACTTGAAAGTTAAAATCCAATCCCAGAAGTGTCTCTTCTTTGCAAGTGAGGTCATAATGGAGCTGTAGGATATGGTTAATATCAGAAACAGAAGCAGAAACAACATCAAAAGTCAGAATGAGACCTGAAAGGAAAAAGAAGCAAATAAATAATTAATAAAGCCTTCCTATGACCAGGAAATGAAGAAGAGCATAAGACTCCGTTTAGCCCATGAGGGACCATCTCTGCAAATCTAATTTTACCTGGGAAGCACTCGGATACTACCACGACAGAGACTATAGAAAACCCCAAGGCACATAGGCATTCATTTTTTTCTGTGTAGATCCTTTGTATTTGGCTCAGCACTAGAAAAGTTCTAGAGTATTTTAAAATTTAAAACCTTCAAAGCTTTTTCCATCATTAGCACAAATTTAAAAGTAGAAAAAAATATATTTTTCATACCTGTCTTCCACAGTAGCTAGGTAACCATTGCTCCTTTCACATGTCTTATTTGCTTCTGAGAATGTTACAAATGTGTGTCCAACCAAATAACAGTGAAACCCATGTCTTTTCCAGCCCTGTGACAAACATGATGCAAACACATGAGTTCTTGACAGATTAACATATTGATTCTGTTCTGTCCTTTAACATATAAATACATATTAAAGTGAAATCGATTGATGAAGCTCAGTTGAGAAAACAGAAGAGACTATGATCACCACACATAGGCAGGGCTGTTATTTAACAAAAGGAAGCTCCCTGCCTCTACAGAGATCAGTATTGTTGTTACTCAGGGGATGATGCTGGGAGGTCTGCCAAGGGCAGCTTGCACCTGACCCATCTTTTCCTCCTCTTATGTTGGTATGATTTTCCTGGAGTGGAAGATTATCTTTCCTGATCAGGATGGCCTTACACTGATTTGCAGGCTTGGTTACGCACGCCCCAGAAGAACAAAGACGCTGACTTTGCTCGGCTCAGAGGGAAATTATGTCTATGTAGCTCAAGAATTGTGGCTTCTAAAACCTTGAAATACAAAAATGATTTAAATTATTCACATAGAACCAGAGCTACCAATATCTGACTACACTGGCTCTTCAGAATTCAAAGAAGGACCCTTTGTGATCCAGCTTAGGTTTGTTCCTCCTGAGTCTACTACAGAGGCTTACCCCAAACCAGCATATAGTAAACAAGTGGGTTTCTGGGCAGGTGAGACTTCCTAAGTTTGCTGACTAGGAACCATGTCACCTGTTGGGGATGTTCAAAGTCCAGCCAGGCAGCCCACAAATAAGGAATCTGAACCAGACAGCTGGGAAGGGAGATTCTTCTCTGCTTTGAATTGATTTCCTTTTCTGATTAGTTGCTGATGCTAAAGACTATGAAGAGACAGAATATCTGAGACTTGAGACAGAGAGGCCTGTGGTGGGTGCTATGTTTGTTATTTCATTGGGTTAGGAGCCTTAAATAAACACAGGATGTTGTGAAGACTTTTTGTTAACCGAAAGGGTCTATGTATATCTATTACTGAGAGGGAAACCGGACTCCATTATAAAGAAGAGGGAGGAGATGGAAGCATTCATATAAATGAAAAATGAATTCAGAGTAGATTTGCATCTGAAAATGAATGATAATAAAAATTGTACATACATGAGCAGCTTGCTAAGGGAAAAAAACATCAGGCTCCTTCAAAAGTAGTTACTCAATAGGGGGAAGAGAAAGTACTTTAAAGAGCATGAAACCCAATAGGCTAAATATAGACCTTTATAGATCACACTTACTCTCTGACAGCCTGGATCGATGATCTCCACTTCCCTGGGAGCTTGTGGTAAAGGTGTCCTTTTGCAGATATAACCAAGTTTCTTTTCACAAACATTAGCTGCCCAATATCCATCCTGAATGTGATGGGGGAGAGAAAAGAATGTCCAGGAAGAGGGATGCATAATCTTTAGAAAACTGCTAATTTCCTCTCTCCTTGCTCATGCTCATTTTTAATCTGTTGCATGAATTGGTTGATAAATATAGATTGCATCAAAAAGTGATGTGCCAGATTCATCACAGCGTTACTTCAGTTCTACACTGCTGTAACTCCAGTGAAAGGAGTAGAACTGGAGTAATGCAGGCTTGAACGTGTCCCCATAAGTATGACGATGTCACACTTATGAGTAGGAGACTCGATGAAAGCCAGTGAATTTTGTGAGAGAGAAAGTGAAAAACACACTAAAAATAAATCATAATGTCCCACAAAATGTTAATTAATTTTGATGTTAGATGTTTTCTCTTTAATTATTTATTATATTATTTTGTAAGGAACTAGATGAACTTTCCTGTAGTATGTTTTGTAAAAGATACCTAAGAGCTCTCTGCCATTAGATCTTTGCTGAGAAACAGTCAACTTGAAATGATTTTTGTGTTTATTTATGGTGGTTTGGGGTGTTTTGTTACCTTCCATTTATTTATTTTTAACAAATCTAGCTACGTTTCCATACTGCCCTGCATGAATGAGAAATCTGCGAGGACCAAGAAATAGATGAAGCCATAGCTCCCTCCTCCCTCAGGGGAGCTAGTCAGGCTCAAGCAAGGAGAGTAAGCAGCACCCTGAGCAAGAGGGAGAGAGGAGAGGATTTGAGGCTGAGTTACAGTTCCTTCCCAGTGTGCATCTACATGCTGCCTTTTACACAGGCTGAACCTAGACACTCAGTTTAGCCCTAAATGACATGCACAATGTCATATAGAGAGTTAGTGTCAGAACCAGAACTACTTAATTACTCTGTTCTTCAGTAGCTCTGTTCTTCCCCCCATTTAATGGTGGGAGGGGATTAATATTTACCATTGATGGAAACAAAAAATATCCTAGGCCGAGCTGGTAGTGACACCTAAATTGCCTAATACTTCTCATTATAAGACCCTGCTTTCATTTGCTTATGATTTGCCAAACTTTAACCGTTTGAGATTAAATTTTCCCTGCTGGGTGTTTGCCTCAAGCTGAACTTTTCTTTTGAAAGTTTCAACAAAAACAGTTCAGCCACTTCTCAGAACAAGGTTAGAGAAAAAGACATTGTTTTGCCCATGTTAAAAAAAATTCTTATAATCATTTACTCCAAAAGCATCATGCTTTGGAGCAGCAGTATTGCCAACCTGAGATGCTCAGTAATCATGAATGAGGCACTTAAAATTATGAGAGTGGCTTAAAAATCATGAGATTTTTTTTTAAAATAATACGTATTGGGCTCTTTTTATTGGCCTGTTGGTTTCCATTATGGTTCAATGTCTTTGTGTTATCAAGCTTTTCTCTAAAACCAGGAGAGCTAGAATCATAGTGTGTGTGTGGCGGGGGGGGGGGGGGGATTTAAACCAAAACGGAGATTTTAGTATAACTTTTTAATCTCAGAAGCTGGAGCTTTAAGAAAAACACCAAATATAGCAAGACTTGTGATAAAGTCACAAGAGTTGATAACACTGGGGCAGAGACTTGTAATTTGGCAGGGGGATGCCCTGGTGTCAGGGATGTGCCTTTTGCCATCCCCATGAAAGTCCACCAAATTTGGCCAGGTTATAAACCTCAGGAAACTATCAGGACACACATGCTGAGAACAGACTTGTTAGAATTTGGCAGTTATTTTCTCCAAAGTTCCCATTTGGACTGGGCATGCTCCAGCCAGGGACTGAAGGGACTGAGTGGAATGGAGAGGGTGAGTAGTGGTGTGGAGCAGAGACAAGCTATGTGGGAGGGATAGACAGGTTGTCGGGCACACAGGAGCAGAGACAGCCTGCAAGGTGGTGGTAGATAGAGGCTAGGGCAGGGGTTCTCAACAAATTTTTTGGTGGCCTCAGAGTGAGGCCACCAACTCTTGCTGGTGGCCACTCTGACAATTTTTCCTAAAATACTTAATTAACTTTAGGAAAAACAAATAAATATGCACATATACATGCCCAAATCATTGTAATTTATCTATGTAGGGTGTTTTTTTGGTTTTTTTTTTTAAGACTCAATAATAAAAATAATGGACAGTTGTCCTGGACCTTACTGGACCTAAACAGAATAGAAACACAAATAAGGTTCTTTGAATGTTCTTGTCTTTATTCTTGTTGTTTCTTCTTCTTTTTTTTTAAAGACTTGCTAGCTATAAGTAAGTCTGCTGTGAAAAGTGATATTTGTATGTTTGTTAATATCACTTTTCAAAGCAGACTTACTCAGCCCTGGCAAGCTCGGAGACAAATTAAGCCCTGGATGGGTACAGAGGCAGTGGGGGCATGGGCGATGGAGCACTGTGGGAGGCAGCAGGGACCAGAAGTGATGATGGGGGTGAGCCTGGGCCAGAGCCCACCACTGCGCAGCCAGGGAATGGAGCCCAAAGCCCCCTGGCTGGAGTCTGCCACTTGCCACCCCAGGGCTGAAGCCCAACTCTACCGCCTCCGGGAAGGTGGGGAACTGACTGACTGCCTGCTCCTGCAGCTTGTATCTCCCCAGAGAGGGGTGGGGTGCAACCACTGCTGGTGGCCCCTGGGGAGGAGCCACTGTTTCCCCCTCTTCCCCCACCCCGCAAATCATTGCCCAGGAAGCTGTGGCTGCAAGAAAAGCCCCTGGTGGCTGCATACAGCCATGGTGGCCACATTTGAGAAACGCTGTGCTAGGGGCAGGGGCAAAAGGCTGGAGGAGGTATAGGAAATAAGGGTTTGTAACTACTTGAGAACACTCCCTTCCAGAACTCTCCAGGAATCCAGAGTTTCAACATTCCTCTGCTGTCAGCAACTGGCTGTTCACAGTCAGAGACAAAATATGTGTCTCATACCCCTCCTCTGGCTTGTCCACATAGAGGACAACACCCTGCTACTACTACCAGTTACTTGGTAAGCTCAACTGATTGAGACCCGGGCTCTAGAACTAGAGATTCCAATCCTGCTCATGACCCATTTTGGGGGAGAAGGAGGGTGAATAATATTCCACATCATAAAATGTATGTCTTTTCAGTGTTTGGCTTTTTAAAACCTAGGACATTATACACAAAAAAGCAAAACAAAACAAACAAAAAAACCCACGTTAAAAGATATTTATGGTTGTAAAAGCAGGCAGTCAAAAGTAATGTAGGATTTAAGATGTTCACAGCCTTAAGAAGGTAAATACATATCTTAGGTTTACAGACGGGGAAACAAACTCAGAAGCTGAGTCACTTCCCTGGAGTATGGTCTAGTGGATTAGAAAACAGAGTATACAATAGCCACTTATAATAATAACAAATAAATCACTGTGAGCCTCTAAAACCAAAGGCATTACTTGTTGCTATGACCATAATAACAAAATAATTTTGGAATTTCTGGGCCGAGTTCTTTAGGAGATATGAAATGCTAAAAGACATTAGGAAAATATTACTTCTTTACTTTTGATCTCACACATCTTATAAATGCCCTGTCTGATTGGTCCCAAACTTATATGAAAACTTACTTTAGGCTGAGATCTGGCATGTGAAATTTCAAGTGGTTTCATGTGTTTCTGGTAAGGTTATGGAGAAGAGAGGTATGTGAACATTTCAGAATCAGGCTTATAATGAATGGCAGTTTAAGCCTGAACTATGTAACGATTAGCATCAATATAAAGCACAAATTCTTAATAGTGAGAGTAAATTAACCTTTGGAACAATTTACACAGGGTTGTGGTGGATTCTCCATCACTCACATTTTTAAATCAAGATTCAATATTTTTCTAAAAGAGCTGCTCTAGAATTATTTAGGGAAAGTTCTATGACCTGTGTTATACAGGAGGTCAGACTAGATGATCACAGCTGTCCCTTCTGGCCTTCCAATCTATAGATCTATGAAAAATAATTGGATTATTTTACCTGTCCCTTCATAACAACACAATCTTCTTGTCTCTTTGCATAGCTGGGTTGACCGCGTAGCCATTTAATATATGTCACAGGAGTCCCATCACTCCATTCAAAATACATTTGAATCTTAAGGGCATTCAGTCCAATCCACAGGTCTTCTGTTGGCTCTAACATAAAAGCAGTTGGTGTGTTAATGATGTTTTTACTGGTAACAGAGTACATTTCCATGTCTGGAATGAGATTTCAGTCATGAATGTTGGGATATAGCACTTAGAGAGTTACGGTAAGTCTTTCTCCTTTAGCAAAAATGCAGGTTGCTCCTTCACATCCCTCTCTGCTGTGAGAGGTAAGCTGGCCTACATTTTAACATGGCTAAGTCTTAGATTCACTCAAAAAATCTTGCCTTTAACAAAGGGACATATGCTCATTTCAAATGGCAGAGGAGAGATACAAACAATTTTTGACAAACTTTATTGATAACTTAAAGCAACAAAATAAAGGCAGAAATATGCTGGTTTGTGCCTTGTTCTGTCTTCTGTCAGCAGTGGCCTTAGAGGTGCTGGGATTGAGCAACAGCATCCCTCTTAACAACAGAGGGCTGCCATTGACTGGAAAATTGCAGAACCAGACCAGCTATCCCCATGCTGTCCCACAATTCAGCACTGGTTGTGGTGGTTGGCTTGGCACATAGTTGATGAAGTTGTATGTAGCCTGTTCACCTTTTCTATTTCTTTTCATAAAAAAATACATTTTCCTCATTATGGTTCACAAGAAAAAAAAATACATTTTTGCAAAATGTTGGCAGCCCAAAAACTCTTTGGAGACACCTCTGCATGACTGTCTCCTGCAGGTCCATGAAACAAACAGGAGGAGGAACTTGGTGGTTTCTTAGGGTATGTCTACACTACGAGAGTAGTTCAATTTCACTTAAATCGAATATGTGGAATCGATATTGCAAAGTCGAACGTGTGTGTCCACACTAAGGACAGTAATTCGACTTTGTGAGTCCACACTAACGGGGAAAGCGTCAACATTGGAAGCGGTGCACTGTGGGCAGCTATCCCACAGCTCCCGCAGTCCCCGCTGCCCATTGGAATTCTGGGTCGAGCCGCCAATGCCTTCTGGGTAAAATAATGTGTCGAGGGTGCTTTTGGGTAACTGTCGTCATCCGTCCGTCACTACCGCCCTCCCTCCCTCCCTCCCTGAAAGCGCCGGCGGGAAATCAGTTCGCGCACTTTTCTGGTCAGTGACAGCGCGTACGCCACAGCACTGCGAGCATGGAGCCCGCTGCGACCATCACTGCAGTTGTGTCCGTTGTCAACGCCTCTCAGCTTATCATCCACCTTTCCCAGAGGCAGATGCAGATAAATCAGGAGAGGAGGCTACGGCAGTGCGGTGAGGGCATGAAGTCAGAGTAGCACAGGCCTGTCAGAAAGCACGGGACCCAGCGCCGAGGACATCACGGTGACAATGGATCATGTGGATGTCGTGGAATGGCGATTCTGAGCCCGGGAAACAAGCACGGACTGGTGGGACCGCATAGTGCTGCAGGTCTGGGATGAATCCCAGTGGCTGCGAAACTTTCGCATGCGGAAGGGGACTTTCCTGGAACTTTGTGAGTTGCTGTCCCCTGCCCTGAAGCGCAATGACACCCGGATGCGAGCAGCCCTGACTGTCCAGAAGCGAGTAGCCATAGCCCTCTGGAAGCATGCAACGCCAGACAGCTACCGGTCAGTCGTGAACCACTTTGGCGTGGGCAAATCTACCGTGGGGGTTGTTGTGATGCAAGTAGCCAATGCAATCATTGAGGTACTGCTCTCAAAGGTAGTGACCCTGGGAAACGCGCAGGCCATCATAGATGGCTTCGCCACGATGGGATTCCCAAACTGCGGTGGGGCTATAGATGGAACTCACATCCCTATCCTGGGACCGGACCACCAGGCCAGCCAGTACATTAACAGAAAGGGCTACTTTTCAATGGTGCTGCAAGCACTGGTGGACCATCGGGGACGTTTTACAAACATCAACGTCGGATGGCCGGGCAAGGTTCATGACGCTCGCGTTTTCAGGAACTCTGGTCTGTTTAGACGGCTGCAGGAAGGTATTTACTTCCCGGACCACAAAATAACTCTTGGGGATGTGGAGATGCCTACAGTGATCCTCGGGGACCCAGCCTACCCGCTAATGCCCTGGCTCATGAAGCCCTATACTGGCGCCCTGGACACTGAAAAAGAACTGTTCAACTACCGGCTGAGCAAGTGCAGAATGGTGGTGGAGTGTGCTTTTGGCCGTCTCAAGGGGAGATGGAGAAGCTTACTCACTCGCTGTGATCTCAGCGAAACCAATATCCCCATTGTTATAGCAGCTTGCTGTGTGCTCCACAATCTCTGTGAGAGCAAGGGGGAGACATTTATGGCGGGGTGGGAGGTTGAGGCAAATAGCCTGGCTTCTGATTACGCCCAGCCAGACAGCCGGGCGATTAGAAGAGCCCAGCGGGACGCGCTGTGCATCCGGGAGGCTCTGAAAGCTAGGTTCCTGAGTGAGCAGGGTAACCTGTGACTTTTAAGTTTGTGTACAGAGAAGCTGAACCTGCCCCCGTTTCTTTACCCAGTCAATGTTGACTATCCTCTCCAGTTACATACCCCCTTCACCCCCTTCCAACACACGTTTAAAAATAAAATGACTTCTATTTTGTTAATGGACACCGTTTTCTTTGTTACTGTTTTCGCGGGAATGTTTTAAACCTGGGACGCAGACTGTGGTGGGGAGCGGGTGTAGTGTACTGATGCAAATGACGCTTCTAAACTGCAGGAATGACAGGCTCCGCAGTGGTGGACTGGTTGTTTCAACGGAGCCTGCCAGCCCTGCTGATGGGGACTGCGTGTATGTGGTGGCTATGTGAGTTTGTGGCAGGGGGAGGAGGGTTACAGATCCCCTGCTGCATGGCTCTGTGATCCAGGATAAGGACCGCTGCATAAGATCTGTAACTGCCCTCCCCCGCCACAAAGTCACAGAGCAACCCCCCACCCCCCCCACAGAACATGAAAACCACCTCCCAGACTGACCAGGGTAACTAGTGACTGCACTGTGTGTGTGCCCTGCTGCTGTCCTGTCCAATTACCAACCCCCTTCCTGCCCTTCAGACAGACTCTCCTCTAAAGAACATGATGGAAACAGTAATGAACAGAAACGTATTTTTTATTAACAACCACACATGAAACTGGGGGGTGAAACTTGGACGGGGGCTTGGGTAAGGCGGGAAGGAAAGGACTTTTCAAATTTTGGGGAATGAGAGCCTTCTGGTGCTTGAGCAGTCTGCAGGGGTGGAGTGAGAGTTTTCACGGATTCTCCCGCCCCTCCTTCTTTGGACTTTGGGTGAGGGGGGTATGGGACTTGGTGGCGGGGGAGGGCGGTTACTGATAGACTGCAGCGGGGCTCTGTCCTCCTGCCTCCGTTCCTGCAGAACATCCACAAGGCGCCGGAGCGTGTCCGTTTGCTCCCTCATTAGTCCAAGCAGCGTTTGAGTCGCCTGCTGGTCTTCCTGCCGCCACCTCTCCTCACGTTCCATGTGTGTCCGGTGCATTTGGGACAAGTTCTCCCTCCACTGGGTCTGCTGTGCTGCCTGGGCTCGGGAGCAGCCCATTAGTTCCGAGAACATGTCCTCCCGCGTCCTCTTCTTCCTCCACCTAATCTGCGCTAGCCTCTGGGAGTGTGATGCCAGGCTGGGTTGGGAGACAGTCGCAGATGTGGCTGTGGGAATGGGAAAAAGGGAGTGAATTCCTCAGAAAGATAAATGTAGTTGTGAACAAAGAACATAGTCTTTCTCTGTGAACAAGACCATGCACTGTACCTATCACATGCGCACTCAGGACAAGGTCGAATTTTCGGCCCTTGCATTCAGTGCCTGGGGTCTTGCACTGCCGATTTGAGAAGCGGGGCAGGACACCGGAATTTGTGTAGCAGGCAGACATGGTAAGCCGTAGACTTGTGGCTGCTTAAAACTTTGATAGTAGCACTGGCCTCCTTTCACATTGAAAGCAATGCTAGTCCCTGCTGCCAGCAATCCGGCAAGCATCAACTCTGCCCCTGTCCCACCCCCTCGCGGCTGTCCCAGGGAAAGATCCCTGTATGCCGCCCCTCTCCCGCCTCCACCGCATGGCTGTAAACCGGCGGTTACAGTTCTGTAAAGGAACGGGCAAGCAGTCCCAATACTAACATTCCCCTACCTAATTCAAAGCAGGTCACCATGAGCGACATCACCCTGATGAGGATCTCAGACAGAGATAAAGAAAGAATGCTTCAGGAAAGCCTGCAAAGACCAGGGCCGTATGCCGCCATGCTCTGCAGGGCAATGATCCCGGAGTACCTGATGGTCTCCTGGCGCGGAAACGTTTCATACCACGGAGGACCCAATAAGGCCGCTCTCCCCAGGAACCTGATGCAAAGGCTTTCCAATTACCTCCAGGAGAGCTTCGTCGAGATGTCCCAGGAGGATTTCTGCTCTATCCCCGGACATGTAGACCGCATTTTACTGTAGCTGCACTGGCAGGGACTAAACAGTAGAGCGGCTTGGGCAGAACAATCATGCAAAACCGGACATTGTTAGATTTGTTTTTAATAGTTGCACTGCCAGGGACTGAAACGTTAAGCGCCTAGGGCAAACTAATCATGAGAAACCCATTGTCGTTATTGTTAAAATTCCTGTTCTGTTAAAAATAAATGTTTAGAGGTTTAAAACACTTACTGGCTGATCCTTCCCCTGATTCTGTGTCCGGGTTAACGGCTGGGGACGGTTGGTAGGGGATCTCTGTGAGGGTGATGAAGAGATCCTGGCTGTCGGGGAAATCAGCGTTGCAAGCGCTGTCGACTGCCTCGTCCTCCTCATCTCCTTCCTCATCTTCCCCGTCTGCTAACATGTCCGAGGAACCGGCCGTGGACAATATCCCATCCTCAGAGTCCACGGTCACTGGTGGGGTAGTGGTGGCGGCCGCACCTAGGATGTAATGCAGTGCTTCGTAGAAATGGGATGTCTGGGGCTGGGCTCCGGAGCATCCGTTTGCCTCTTTGGTCTTCTGGTAGCCTTGTCTCAGCTCCTTGATTTTCACGCGGCACTGCATTGCATCCCGGCTGTATCCTCTCTCTGCCATGGCTTTAGAGATCTTCTCGTAGATCTTTGCATTCCGTCTTTTGGAGCGCAGCTCGGAAAGCACGGACTCATCACCCCACACAGCGATGAGATCCAAGACTTCCCGATCAGTCCATGCTGGGGCCCTCTTTCTAGTCTGAGATTGCACGGCCATCTCTGCTGGAGAGCTCTGCATCGTTGCCAGTGCTGCTGAGCTCGCCACGATGTCCAAACAGGAAATGAGATTCAAACTGCCCAGACAGGAAAAGGAATTCAAATTTTCCCAGGGCTTTTCCTGTGTGGCTGGTCAGAGCATCCGAGCTCGGACTGCTGTCCAGAGCGTCAACAGAGTGGTGCACTGTGGGATAGCTCCCGGAGCTATTAGCGTCGATTTCCATCCACACCTAGCCTAATTCAATATGGCCATGTCGAATTTAGCGCTACTCCCCTCGTTGGGGAGGAGTACAGAAGTCGAATTTAAGAGACCTCTATGTCGAACTAAATAGCATCGTGGTGTGGACGGGTGCAGGGTTTATTCGATGTAACGGCGCTAAATTCGACATAAACGCCTAGTGTAGATCAGGCCTTAGAGAGAGAGGAAGCTGAAATAGCTTATGCTGACACCAACCACAATAGCCCATATTTTGTTTGTACAAAGTAGCAGAGTTGTTTTTTCCTAACTGTTCTTCACTAGGGCCCCAATGCAGCAATGCATTTAAGCACATGTTCAACTTTAAGCATGAGCAGTTCTGTCAATTTTAATGGGACTCCTCCAGTGCTTACAGTTAAGCACATGCTCAAATGTTGGATTGAGACCTAGCTGAGAAGACCTTGGTCACTACAGAACTCGTCAGCCTCCAATGCATGGGACTGGGGTTGAAGGCACAAGATTCACCCCCGTTATGTACTAAGAAAGCAGGTTGGCACACACAAGCTATAGAATTTTTCCTTTCCTACTGTACAACTTTTTTTAATACTTAGATTTTTACTTCATAAGTAAACAAAAAATATTCTTCTGTGTTTATGTAAAAAACACCCATTAAGTCTGATCCATTCTTTGGCTATAAATGTTAGCAGTAGTGTTCAAAATAAAAACCAGCTAACTGTTCATTATAAATACTACAGACAAAACAGTTGCCTGTAGTAATACTTACTGTAGCCAAGCTGAGAAACAATAAAGCTGTTCTCTGCAATATTATGCATACTCGCCAAATTTCCATCTTGCTTCTTACATGAAGTCAAAGCTTCTTTCCATACTTTGGGCTCTCTGTGAATCATGTAACAATGACCTGCATATGGCAGCCACCCATCTGGGCATTTAATAGGCCCCAAGTGATCTAAAATCAAAATAAAAATGTTTTAGAGCAATGTAAAAGAGAACAAAGTAAATGAGACTGACAGTATTTTCTGTTATTGCGCATAAAATACAGGAGATCTAGCTGAATATAGGTGACATTTGAGGTCAGAAATTCAAGAACATTCTAGTGAGAATTAAAATATGACTAATATTAAATATGTTAAATGTGAATATAAATAAAATATGGTTCTTTATCATTTAAACATCTAAATATCTTAAATACCCAGACTTGGACAGATCTACCCAGACTTGTCATATAGTGCAGCTCCCTAGAAATTTCAGGTATTGACACTCATGGTCTAAATCTCTAGTAACTGCTTATAAGTAACTGACCATCAGAAATAATTTTGTAAACTACTGCAACTAATTGTCTCGTCTTTAAATTGTCACCTTTTTACATTGGGCCACTTAGGTGACTAAATACAGGTTTCAGACCGTAACTTTAGGTCCCCTTTTTAAAAAATCTTGACTCATTTCTTTCTCATGTTATTATTGTCAGTTAAAATATTCTTAAATAAAATCTCTATCTAGTTTAATAAGTTTGTCACTGAGCATTTACAGCAGCTTTCAAAGCATCCCTGGGAAACAGCCTATTGAAGATCACTTCTAGGTATAGCATATGACTGCTATTAACTTGTCATTTGTATGCTTTAGGTCAAAGGCAGCCTGCAGTCTAAATGTAGTCCAAGGAAATGTAAAATGTAGCCCATGGCCGCTTTTTAATACAGAGACGTGGATAATGAAAACTAGTGCTCCTGCTGTCCTGCTCAGATGGACATGAAATGTTGCATGCTGTAGTCATCACAGACTGACTCTTTGCATTAAAGGTTAGGGTGGCTGTGGTGTGTGCCTTTTGTGCAATTAGGGACATGAAATTACAATTATGGTTTATGCAAATTCAATCCTTGGCTCCTGTCAAATTGCCAGTATGGCTTTTAGTTGTGTAAAATTTAGCCATCCTGCTTTAGATGAATGGAATAATGGAATTCTTCCCAGAGTGGTTCATATAGGATAATGGCCTTTTGTACCAAGCAATATAGAAAATTTGTGCACAAGCAGGTGGGGACACACAAGGCATGCACATACACACACGGGTGTTTTTAAAGCATTGCTCTTGGCTAAAAAAATAACTTCCACTGTAATTTCATGGTGATCAAAATGCATCTCCTTTTTATCCATTGCACATCTTTGCAGGCTGCAGTTTCTACAAAAAAAAAATCACCTTTTATTAAATTAACACACTTACCTGAAGGCGTATTGAGAGACTCTGAAGTGGAGTTTCCCCTTTTACAAATGTAGCCATGTTTCTGATTACATGCCTGGTTTTCCCATTTAGAAGCTCTTCTGGGATTCAGCATGGCACAGAGTTTACCAGGGGCTGGAATGGGGCTTCCTTTGACAAACAGATAAAACAGAATCTCCATGTAATCACTGCAAAAAATCATGTCACCAATAGAAGGAACAATTTTTTGGTGATCTCTCTTGCCTTTATGATTGTTAAACTGACTAGACGCAGAGCACTATCAGCTGCACAGATTAATCAAACTGAAAAAAGTTAATGGATTCTGAGGCCAAAGGGGAACCTTGGGATCATCTAGCCTGACCTCCTGTATAACACAGGCCACAGAACTTCCCGAAAATAATTCCTAGAGCAGAGCTTGTAGAAAAAGAGCCAATCCTGATTTTAAAAATTTCAGTGATGGAGAATCTACCATCACTCTTGGTAAATTGTTCCAATAGTTAATTATTCTCACCATTAAACATTTACTCCTTATTTCCAGTCTGAATTTGTCTGGCTTCAACTTCCAGCTATGGGATTGTGTTATATCTTTCTCTGCTAGACTGAAGAGCTCATTATTAAATGTTTGTTCCCCATGTAGATACATATAGACAGTCACCCCGTAGCCTTCTCTTAGGGTATGTCTACACTACGGGATTAATCCGAATTTAGATAATTCGAATTTGGGAAACAGGTTGTATAAATTCGATTGTGCGCGGCCACACTAAGCACATTAATTCGGTTTTTAACCACATTAATTCGGTGGTGTGCGGCCACACTACCCCATTAATTTAACCACAGTAATTCGGTGGTGTGCGGCCACACTAACCCTAATTCGAATTAACAAAATCGATTTAGGCGCTACTCTGCTCGTCGAGGTGGAGTACAGAAATCGATTTTAAGTGCCCTTTAATTCGAATTAACTGGCTCTGTAGTGTGGACGGGTGAAGGGTTAATTCGGATTAACGCTGCTAAATCCGAATTAAAGTCGTAGTGTAGACCAGGCCTCAGGTAAGCTAAACACTTGAATCTATCACTATAAAGCATATTTTCTAATCCTTTAATCATTCTCATGGATCTTTTCTGAACCCTTTCCAATTTATCAACATCATTCCTGAATTGTGGATATCAGGACTGGACACCCTATTCCTGCAGCAGTCACACCTGTGCAAAATTCAAAGGTAAAATAACCTCTGTTCCGAGTCAAGATTCCTGTTTATTCTTTATGGAGGTGGGGTCGCCCCCAAGTATTGCATCCAGCTTTTTGTAGAAACGGCAGGTCATGGGGGCAGTACCAGAGCGGTGGTTTGCCTCCCATGCTTTGTGGTAGGCATTCCCCAGCTCCTTCACTTTAACCCTGCACGGCAGTGCGTCCCGGTCATGGCCCCTTTCTCTCATGGACCTTGATATCTGCCCGTAAGTATCGTAATACCTACGGCTGGAGCGCAGCTGGGACTGGACAGCTTCCCCCCCCCCCCAAACTCTAATGAGGTCCAGCACCTCACCATTGCTCCATACTGGGGATCGCCTGGCACGTGGAGACATGGTCACCTGGAAAGATGTGCTGAGAGCATTCCACACCTTGCTGAGCAAACAGGAAGGGGAATTTCAAAATTCCCAGAGAATTTAAAGGGAGGGTCTGACAGTTGATTACCTGAGGGCAGGGCAATAGAGTTCAAAGTGATGACCAGAGTGGCTAGAATAGGCATTGTGGGACACTTCTGGAGGCCGATCAGAGCGCATTAACAGACCAGGGCATCCACACTGGCACCGCGGTGCTCCAGCCGGGGCACAGCAAGCGTTATGCTTCTCGTGGAGGTGAATTACCAGGGGCGCTCCAGCCACGAGTCTGGGCGATCTACCAGTGCCTTGCCAGTGTGGACACCTCTGGAGTTAGGGTGTACGGGGCTGATTTAATGCGCTCTAGCTTGCAAGTGTAGCTAAGGCCTAAGTCGACACAAGGTGGCTTATGTTGACATAACTTTGTAGTGCAGACCTGGCCTAAGCTGCAGAGATGTGTCTGCAGAGACCCTGGAGCAATAGCTCTGAGTGGTGTGAACTGCCCCGTTCATTTCTGTGAGGTGTTAATGCAGATACCCAGTAATGATAATTTAAATGTCAACATTGTTGATTACTTCATTGTACATATCAGAAAGGGTGGAGAGGGAAGGATAGATCCACACAAGTTATTGTGAGTGATGTCTTATTTTGGTGCCACAAGTGCGTAGAGTTTGGAAGACAGATCTGCTTTTTTTCCTTTTTCTTTAATCAAAGAGCCAAGCCTAGTGAGCCCAGTGGAGCCCATGGGTATATTCAAGACCTACTGAGGAGTAGCCTAGCAGTTCACATGATCATATTTTGAACATCTGCACAATCTACTATGAGCAGCTGTTCATTTGTCAATTTACATGGCCAGAGTTTATTTTGTGGAAGCAGCTTGGAAACCATCATGTTCCCCCCTGAATCATACCCTGTCACAGCATTGGATTATTGATTTCAGCAACAAATAAGCTACAAGAGCAGATGAACACATACAAGTTACAATCAAGATTTCATGCAACTGGCCTTAGAAATAAAAAATAGAAAATATGTAATAGACTATATAAGCAGCAATGGGCTTGATTTCTACTGCATTATTCCAGTTACACTGTCATCAAAGGATGCAGTGGCCCCTGTTCTCTAAATAGAATGTGTTGAAGATTTTTGATGAAGCATCAGTTTTTCTCTAACGGTGTATAATATTTAGAATATGTGAAGAAGATGCAATGCCTTTATTTCCTAAATATTTTGCTGCTTCTGGAAGCTTCGATTTATATTTTTCATTTTTGGATTACATTTTAAGGAAAAATTCGGATCAGATCTGTTTTGTGATTATTAACTCCAAATGATATTCATTTCTATAGACAGTTCCATGTTTGTAGTGATAAAAAATACTGGTGTTGAAATCTATAATGTGCATCAGAGAATTTTACTCTTAAAAATGATGGGGCAGACCATCAGCTAGTGTAAATCAGTGACTTCAGTGGAGCTGTACCACTTTACACCAGCAGAAGATCTATTTTGATTATTATAAACAGATTTACCTACCTGGAGCCCAGTTTAAATATCTGAGAGGACTGCTACCCATCCACTGCCATCCACCATTAAAATTCAAACTATTAAGTCCAATCCAGAGAGCAGAATCCATATTTTTAGTTATCTCTAAATTACAAAAGAAATTAAATGAAACTTTGAACCAAAATTTACATTTCTCAGACAGAGCCAGTCAATAAAAATATCACTTTTCCAATTAGTAAAATATATAGATGAAAATAGGAACACAATATACATGTGAGCATATATGTGTAAAGGTTACAGAGATTTCTGGCTAACAAAAGGAATAAATGAACTTTTCATTTCAGCTCAAACATAGCACATGAAAGATTCATTAGCTCTCTTCTGGTCCTGTTCCAAACTGGTGTTTATGAAGCCTCCTTCATGACTTTTATAAAGGAGCTTAAATCATTAACTCCATTGGCGTTATTGGAAGTTGACGCATGTAAAATCCACCCATATTAGGATGAGACTAACCACCTTCATGTATTCAGAAGTTATATATTGGAGTTATAAATAATCACTAAAGATTACAGGAAACATATTAATCTATGGATCAGATTATGGCTACTCCTGAACAGTGGTGGGAGGAAGCAGATGATGCAGAGACAACCTTTGCACCAGGACTTGCTTCTTGTTTTTTCATGGCCAATGTCACTATGCTCCCCGAAAGGGGAATGGCCAGTCTTCCTGTACTGCAGGCTAGTGGGTGGGGGATGTGTTTTATCCTTTTAAAGGGTGACGTAAATGCTGCTGCCTCACTGAAATGATTTCTCAGACCATGGAGATATATTTAGAATTGACACAAAAACAGAAAAATCACTGTGGGTGAAACCCGGGTCCCACAGACATCAATGCGAGTTTTTCCATTAACTTCAATGCAGCCAAGATGTCACCTTGAGTTTTCACTCTTGATTATTTTGTTAGTTTACCTCTCAGGTATGTTTGCTCCTGTATCTCTGTGATGCTTAATAATTCTGCATTCTGTTGCTGGCAGCTTTTCCTTGCTTGGTGCCATGTTAGAGCTGATTGGGAGTTTATCTGGTAGTGGAAACCTGTCAAAGAATCTGTAGTCCAAAATCTTTCAGTGTCACCTAGAAAGGGAAGAAAGATATGTAATATTAATTATGATTGACCCAAATAGACTCTGTTATGCAGTCTGTGCTTCTATGGAATGCAAAATCTGTCAGAGTCCATCAATATATGATATTAATTGTAAAATACCATCAATTCTAAAGCAACAGCAACACTAAAATCAAACCAGGAGTTGAATTCTATTAGTGTATATTTTTGTATAGTCTTCTAAACTTCAGAATTTTTTTTTGCAGGGAGGGGGGAGAGCTAGGGGTGGGTGGGTATTTTAAATGTGTTTTTGCTCACAAAATCTAAGATAGCCTTAAACATAGGTGAAAGGGGAAGGGTGGGCATTCAGATGAGCTGTCACTCATGCTCACCCATGCCCACGGGCAATCGCCTCTGACAGCAGAGGAATGGTGAACTTCAGGGATCTTGAGTTCCATTTCAGGCTTTGAAGGTTTGTGTGCTCTAGATGGCACAGACTCCTATGTCCCCAATCTTGAACCCTCAACCTGCCCCAGTCCTAGTGCTGACTCCCAGTCCCAAGCCCATTCTCCTCATCTAGTTAGTCCCAGTCTCCACTCCTCAGGCTACTGGTCCCAGTCCCAATTTCCTTGCTGTACAAGTCCTAGTCTCCCACTCCAGACTCCCTCTACCAGTTTCTCCCAGTCCATGTCTCCCCCATCATGCTCCAAGTCTCTCTGCCTAGCTATTCCCAGTTCCCTCCACCATTCCCTAATGTGTCCACCATCTCTCCCCAGTCTCCAATCACCTATCTCCCTGGCCATGCTCTCTGTCCCCACTGGCTCTGAGTGCCAGTCTCCTTCTCCAGACTCCTTGTTCTCCCCTCCCTTGGCTTCTTGTCCCAGTCTGTTTGCCCAGCCAATCCCAGTTATCCCCCATGCAACCTGGCTCCTCATTAGATCTGTATTCCCGCCCTGCACCTCCTCCCCCCTCCAACTGGTTCCAGTTGCCAGTTTCCTTGCCCTGTCAGTCCCACTCTCCCCTGGCTCCTCATTCAATTTCAATTCACCATCCACTATCTCCATCTCCAACCGTTTCCTTCCCTGGCTCCCAGGCCTACCCTCACCCAGCCAATCCCATGTCTCATTCTATGCACTGGTCTTCCCCCACAGTCACTCTGTGTGGATGGTGCATGTGCAGTCTGGTCACATGTATGAATTGTGAGATGATGTTATGCTATGGGAATGGTGCATGAGCAGTCTGATCAGCTGTAAGAGCTGAGAGAGGATGGAGCATGCTCAGCTGATCGGTGGGGATGGCTCATGCACAGTTTAGTCAACACTAGGAGCTGTGAGAGGCTCAAATATGGTCTGTGAAGACAGAATCTTCAGAGATTTTAGTTACTAAAATATACGTCGTCTCCACGGAATATGTGCCAACTGTGATTTTCCAAAGGCTTATAACTTGACCAAATTCAGACAGATTTCCACAGGAATGGCATAAGCCAGATCCCTGACACAAAGGGTAGCCTCTGCCAATTATACAGTCTCTTCCGCAAAGCATGGGGATGCTAGCGCTTTCCAAAGCCATAGTCATCAGAATTTAACATTGAAAAACAACTTTATTTTCCCTAATCGCATTCTCAGAAGTGGCTGAACCAAAAAAATTCAGCCCGAGGAAGATATCCATGAAAAATTTCAGCCCAAACAATTAAAGTTTGGCAAAGTGATAAGCAACTAAAAGTATGGTCTTATAATGGAGAGTGTTGGGCAATCTTAACAATAGGTCAGCCTAACCGCTCAGCCTACAATATGACTTAAGATTTCTTATCTAACTAGTGATTTTTGCCCCAATCCAGCCCCTGAAAGTGTTTAAAGTTGGGCGCTCAAAACACAGAGGCACACAAAATCATGTCACTTTTAAAAATGTAGGTTCTTTCTATCTATGTGCACGCACACACACTTTATATGTTTGGGTATGTCTGCACTGCAATCAAAGACGTGATTGCAGCTCGGGCAGGCATACTTGTGTTAGCTTTAATCTAGCTAGCACAGCTAAAAATAGCAGTGAAGGCACAGTGGCATGGGCTTCTGCTCAGGCTGAACAAGCTTGCCTGGAACCCTAGGCATGTACTCGTGTTGCTAGTCTGCAATGAAGCCTGAGCGGCCACATCTTCACTGCTATTTTTACCAGTACTAGCTAGATTAAAGCTAGAATGGGTATGCCTATCTGAGCTGAATTCACACCTCCGATTGCAGTGTAGATGATAAAGAGATTCCCTTTATCATCTACATCCATTCCTTCATCCATCATGTAAACACACTGACCAGATCAGAAATGAGACTCCAGCTTAATGTCGGGGGGGGGGGGGGGGGGAGGGAAGCAATTTCCTGCTCTTGTAGTCTCTTCCTCAAAGAGGGTAGAGACCTGGATAATGCTGCCATGAAGAAATGGCTCCACAAAGCAACTGTCCTATGGGGGATCACTGCACAAGGGATGCAATTGCAAGGGAAGGCAGAGAAAGCTATTTACACCTTCTTCCCCCATTGCACACCCATGCAGAGCCATCAATAAGCTGGCCACAACCATTTGCAAGTCATGACATTCAGAATTAAAGTTCCTGTCCTCTCTCTCCCTCTGTACCTGTTTCTGATATCCTACTAGGCCCTGTGCCTTCCCCTGCATCCTATGTGAATCTGCAACTTTCCCTGAGGCGGGTCCCACCCATCACAGCTATACGGTTAATAACAAAGAAAGAATAGCCAGACTCTACACCAAACAGAGTAGCAAAATGCCCAAGGAAAAGCATGAGGTGAAGACCTTTAATATCCAATTTTTACAGTAGACACAAAATGGAGACTTACCCAGCAGCTGCAAAGTACTGTGAATGAGAGAGAGGAAAACAAGCAATGTGGAGAATGTCATGGCAAATGTTTCATTCCTTTCTTCCTTTCCACTAAGTGATGAATGGTAATTAGTTGCTGTCAATAAAATCCTTCTGTAAGGAGCAGTCTGGCAGGTCCTACTATGTTTCAAAGGGCTGACAGATCAGGGGAAAGCTCTGGGCTCTAAATAAGGAACTATCCTGTCACATGTGACATTTTGAAATAGCAGGAATTAACAGAGCAAACTTTGCTTTTGTAAGTGAATCGCTCTTTACTGAGGGCAAAGTCTCTTTCCATAGAAATGCAGGTGATAAACAAAGTGGTTACAATTCAGTGCAGTTTCCTGGGACAATGTTGGGTCAGTTGTTGGGTTTCCAGGCCAATGAAATCGCTAAAAGATCTTAGGGAGCTAACAGTGTCAAGCCTGCAGCAGAACACAGATAAAAGCTCAGCCGCTACATTTAAACTGTATACCTCAGATAGATAGTGAGACAACACTCCCAGTATTCCAGTAAGGTTGGTAGCAGCTCACATTTCCACCTGTCTGGAAGGTAAGGAATTAACTTTACAGCGTTATTCAGTTAAAAATCACCCTGCAGGACAAGCAGAATTTTAATTCTGAAAACAAAGATTGCTGAATTAGGATGGTCAGATGTGCCAGCCTCAGCATACACATTTTGGGTATCTGGCCAAAAGGGATCTCAGAAACAGTGCACTTCAAAGGTAATTTCTAGCTTTCCTGTGTAGGGACTAGACAACTGTCATACACCACTTCCAAGGGCCTTCTTCAAGAAAGGTCATGACATTTATCTAAATACCTGCAGTGAGAATATTCAACAGTTCTGTACGTTATATTGTTGAACTGGTGAACATTACCACCACATTTCCTGGTGGTAGAGGTAGAAGGGGTGAGTCTGACTGTACAGGCCAATCCCATTCCCATAGTACATGTATGAGGACTGGACTTTGTACCAGAATACTTTGTCAGACAAAACTACAGTCTTGTCTACACAGTGCAATTTACTGACATCGCATTTCTGGTATAAGCATATTAAACTAAATCGGAAAAAGGAACTATTCTTCCAGAATTAGTGTCCACCTGGGGTGTTGTATAATGATACTGGCATAGCTATGTCAGTTAATTTCTCCATCTAGACAAACCCCACCAGTTTCTTTCCTTTCACTGAAGTTAAGAGAAGTTGGGACATGAAATTATAAAACATGTGTGAGGTGAAATAACCATCTCAAGCACAATAATATATTTATTCAGAATCTGAAGGGAAGCTGTGACAGCAGGAAAACTCATCAATCTCTGCTATTATTACAGTGGAGATGCCTAAATACAAGAATTAGTCAACCTGCCTGATTTGGCTACACAGCAGAAAACTCAGAGGGAAAGGCAGATCCTTAAGCAAGTCTGCAAGACCAAAATAAAAAAGAGGAATTGAATGAATTGCTGAATAATAAAATTCTATAGAAGCTTAATATACAGATAGTAGGAAATTAAGGACAAAGCCGACAGAATTTTGCCTTTTGAAATTGTGACAAAAATAGCTAACAGCAACGAAAAGCAAAGCAAATATAATCCTTCCCCTCAACAATATCACCAGTATTCTCTAGAATATCTGTTTTGGCCAAGATTTTTCATTTTCTGTTGTTAATTTTGCCTGAAGAGAACAAATGCTTTTTTTTTCTTGGCTTCAATCAGTACCTTTGTATTTATTAAGATGGAGGCTCATGGAATTGCGGCATGACAGCATCCCCAAAACCACATGGTTGGTTTTTTTTAAATCATACATTGTCATTGGTATTAATTATTACTACTTAATATTTACATTGTGGCAACACCTACAGGCTTTAATCAGGTTGAGCCCCATTGTGCAAGGAACTTACACATACACAGAAGTGACAGTCCCTGCCCCCCAAAACTTCCAATCACAAAGATTTAGAATATCCTCCAGACATAGCTAATGGAAAGAGAACTTTTTCTCAACTACATAGGTGTACACATTGTCAGACTATCATTTTGGTATATTGTAGCATAGCAAATATTAAAATATTTTGTGATTCTAATTATATTACACCTGGGAATACTTTTTAAATATATATTCCAAGTGTGTACAAGGCATTTCTATTCTACTGAATGGCTACACCACTGAAAAGGAATATGCTTTGTAGGGTCTTATTGATGTTTCTATCTCTACTCATTGCTACATACCACAGACTCTTAGTAATATTCAGTGGTATAAATTAAAGTTTGCCTTCTAAAGAAAGGAACATAGACTACAAAGTCAATGTGTAATTTAAAGCAAAGACTAGTTTGGCTCATGGACACCCTGAAAATGTTCCTGCATGAAATACATATAATCCTGAATCTTACCATTTAAGACATTTTAAAACTGAAGAGGGAGTTGTAATGTTTTTTTCATTTTTTAATGTTAATTAGTCCCATTTGAAACCATGTAAACCATTTAAACCATTAGTTCCCTAAAACTGCTTGTAAAGTACAATAATAACTCTTCCTATCTGAATAAATTGCTTTGTATCTGCTACCATCACAGCAGCATCCTGCAGTACCAGTCCCGACCACTCAGACATGCATTAGCCCCAGGACACACATCATCAGCAAGATTATCCCATTTACTTCATTGGACTGATGCAAGTCCCACCAGATCATCTACCAGCTCAACAAGACTTTACTGGTTACATATTTGTTGACTGTGTCACTTTTTAATGGCACCACAGTAACATTATGACAAAATTCTTGTATGACATAGGTAAGCTGGTAATCGTTGATTTTAATGTTAGGTGACTGATTGAAGGAAATAAATTACATTACTATTAATAGTAGAATTATTAAACATTTATATTGTGTAGCATCTAAATGCCACAACCAGGCTGGGCTCCATTATGCTAGATAAGACATAGCAGGTAGATGAGACAGCCAGAGTGAGGTGAAAGAACAGGGTAAAAAAATAAATACAGTAATAGGATGTGCACAGTTCCTTAGCTGGTCATGTCATGATCATAGCTCTCCACCTGCCTAGCCACATTTGGATCCTGTGTACCAGGAAAGGGAATTGTTATGAGGGCAGGAGACTCCATGCCAAAAGGATGCCAGTCCCCTGCCCTAATTTTAAAGGATTTGCTAACCTTGCTTAACTGACAGTTTTGAATTAGCTCAAACATTAAACAAAGACCAGTCTATTCTATATGTGTTCTTATACTGCCCCCTTCGCTGTAGTATCCGAGCAGCTTCCAATAGCACATTCAACAACTGTCACGTGTAGTTCATTCCCTCTCGTCCTCTCCCCAAGGGAAGAATTTTGTTTGTAGGGTTTTGTTTTGGTAGTGGGTTTATTGTTTTATATTAGAGAAGGTCAAAGAAGTGCACTCTGTACTAGGAGCAGAAGGTGGAGAGGTTTGTGATGGTCCTTAGTTCCTGGGGGGGGGGGGGGGGAGAGGGGAGAGTTCCTTCCAGAGTCTTGGACTGGCTGACAAGAAAGTTCTGTCACCTGCCCAGCTGAGCTTTAAACCCTTATTGTAGGAAATTCCATTGTCTGAGGAGTGGAATTGTCCACTATGGTCTTTATCCTGGAGCTTTAGGTGATCTTCAAATATGCAGGGGCCCAGGCCACTGAGTACCTTGAAGAAAAGAACCTTGAACTTGACATGATAGTCTAAGGGAAGCCAGTGAAGAGAGCGGAGGGCAGGTTTGACATGCTTTTGGTAGCACCCATTGCTGAGAAGACATGCTGCAGAGTTCTGTATGGAGTTGAGTTTAAATTGGAATTTCCATCCAGAATAAAATTCCAATATTTCAACATCTTTATTTCTTAAAAATTTTGAACTAAAAGTTTTCAGAAATGGCAAAACATTTTTATTTTGGCATTTTTGATCGAAATGAAAACTTCTGGTGTTCCCAAATTAAAATGTTTGATTTTGGATTGTTGAAATGACCCAAAACATTTTATTGAGAGGCATTTCAACATTTAACTGGATCTAGCTATGATGGCACATTGCCTCATGGGTGTTGTAGTTCAGTTGCCTGATGCCCTAATTCTCCTCTTTAGGCTGAGCTTCCTGACTGGACTACATCTCCCATGATGCACCTACTGTGACTCCTGCAAAGAACCAGGCCATTCAATCAGGGGGGAAATTGCATCACATCATGGGAAATGTAGTCTGGCCAGGTAGCCCTGTCCATAGAAGAGAGTGGGAGCATCAGGAATCCAAACAACAAGTCCCATGAAGGAATGTGCCACCACACTGGGGGGGAAAAAAAACGTTTGATGCTGAACTGACTTGAAAGAAAATATTTCAGGTCAGTTTAACAAACCAAAATATTTCAATTCAGGTCTAACCAAGCTGAAATTAAATATTGTTTTGTTTTTCCTGAACAAAAATAGAAAAACAAAATCTAAAATTAAAATTAAAATTTTGATTTTGTGGAAACTGCATTTTGTGTTGAAAATTAATTGAGATAGAAAATTCCCAGCCAGGTCTAGTTCTGTACTAGTTGGAGTTTCTTAAAAGCTGATGGCTTCACATCCAGTTTTATTACATTGCTGTAGTCCAAATGGGAGATGACAAAGATGTGTGTAACTAAGGCAGGTCATCATCTGCCAAGATGGGGTTGAGCCTCCTAGCTAATTAGATAAAGAAGAGTGTTACTAACAGGCATTGTTATGAGAAAGCTTAGGGCAAATCTACAGTACAGTGCTACATTGGCATATCTGCAATGTGCACGTCTGGTGAAGATGCGCTATGACGATGAGAGAGCACTCTCCCATCGGTAGAATTACTTCACCCCAGCAAGAAGAGGAAGCTATTTTGTAGGAGAGGGTCTCCCACTGACATAACACCAGTGTGGACAGCGCAAAACTTGCATCACTCCGGGGGATGGGAGGTGGGGATTTCTAAGAAGACTGAAAACATATACATTTAGTTGATAGGAAAGAAACAACAGCTAAGGAAACAATTCTTCATCCTTTAAATAATTTTGTAAAAAAGCAGAACTCAACAAAAATAGTAAATGCTGGAACTAAAAAAAAAAGAACATCTGTTTCCTATAGAAACACACACTGGCAAAACTGTTTCTAGAGAGCTAAGAAAAGCAAATACATTAAAGCTCAAATATTGAGGATCAGCCATCGATCTAAGGCCTTGTCTACACAAACAGTTAATTGGTGGCAACTGG